GGGGCTGGGTGGGGGTGGGGGCGTGGACTCGGCTTCGGCAAGCTGGAGAAAAGCTGACTAAGAGTGCCACTACAGCTGCTGGGTTCCCACAAATAGAAGGTTAGGATCTTAGCTTTCTGAACGAAACCTTTGGTTCTGTAAATTTCACAAATACAGATGTGTTCTCTACTGCAGAAAGTACTGGAAAGCAGAAAAAAAATCACCTCGCGTTCGCTCTGTAATCATCGACTCAAGAAAAAAGGTATAATTAACGTAGTCTGCCACTTCCAGGTAGGCGTGTGGGCAGGCAGACGTGAGGGCAGGCAGGCACACTTCTAGGATTCCCTTTATGCAGTTTTTTGCTGAAGTATTTGTGTGTGGGGGTCATTATTCTCAGTCTACTGCTTTGGAGATGTGGAAGCAGGGTGACTGTTTCTGTGCTCCTGATGTCTTTTTTGGGGTCTCCCTGCAGAACCCTGCCATTGCTGACATCTACACGGAGCATGCCCATCAGGTGGTGGTGGCCAAGTACGCGCCCAGCGGATTCTACATCGCCTCCGGAGGTACGTGGATGAGTGCCTGACTCGTGGTGGTATGGTCGGGGCAGAGCCCAAGGCCCAGCCCAGAGTGTGGCGGGCGGAGGAGGGCGGAGGCCGGCAGGAGAACTGAGATGCCAGGGAACCAGTGTCATGGGTTGCAGCTGGAGCTGACAAGTAGGGGCAGGGTAGGTCACCAGGAAGCCAAGCTCCAGAACCAGCCGTCCGGGAAGTCACTCTGTGCTTTGCAGTCTGCAGTGGGCCAGCTCATTTTGACTCAGGGTCAACAGAAAGGCTCTTGTTTTGCCGAGTTGCCAGAGGCCTTTGTGGGTGGCTGTATTTATCAGAGGGAGCCCTGGTGCAGTGGTTGAAGCACTTGACTGTCGCTCACGAAGTCAGCAGTTTGAACCTACCAGCTGCTCTGTGGGAGAAAGATGTGGCGGTCTGTTCCCATAGGATTCACAGCGTTAGAAACGCTATGTGGCAGTTCTGCTCTGTCCCACAGGGTGGCTATGAGTTGGAATCAACTGGACGGCAGCAGGTGGGATATAGATCAGGTTTCCTGAGTCCA